GTTTTGTTTTCCGAGTTAAGTTTGAAGAGTTCCGAGTAACCACAGATAAGATGTACCCCGTAAAACGTAACATTAGCCATGCAAATGTTGTTTTTTCCCGATAATAAAAGGCCACCAGTGCTATACCCTCACTCATAAGACACGACTGTTCTGTAATGCACATCGGCTAGCTGTGTTGGTGAAAACACGTCAGACGGTACAGATGACGATCAGGTTTGATTAGTTATCACCTTTATCACATCTTGCGAGTTTGCAGGAATGGTGGTAATTATAAATGGTGTCCAGGTTTAAAACCTTGGCTGAATGCCGCAGGACTGTCCTGCGCTGCTCCCTATCTCCATCTTCAGGCTCTTTAAAGGTATCCGGTGACTGCATCTGGTTTTTCAGCCTTTGTAAAATATTTGTCATCAATGTGCATGTTTCCTGAACATTCCATTTTAGCTTTGTTTTTACTAAAATTTCAACAACTGGCCGACCTTGAGATGGACCACTGCAGCTTGGAAGTGCGTGCTAGTTTGTGGAATTTTGGGTAAAATGTGATTAAACTTTGGTTGTTTTTGTTTATTCATGGTTGTAGATGTGGTTTTCCTCAACCTTTTAGATTTCTGTGTGACTAAGAACAAACTAGAGTTTGGTTAGTTTTGGTCAGCGGTAGTCAAAACACGCTAAAGGGAACATTTGGAAAGATTTTTAGCCAGTGAACAATTATTACGGTGTTTTTGATTGTTTTATGATGCGTTCACATAGCAACAAATGGTAAATTGTAAATGGCCTGCATTTGATATAGCACCTTCTAGAGTCCTGGAACCCCCCAAGGCGCTTTACAACACAATCAGTCATTCACCCATTCACACACTGGTGGGGATGAGCTACAATGTAGCCACAGCTGCCCTGGGGCGCACTGACAGAGGCGAGGCTGCCGAGCACTGGCGCCACCGGTCCCTCCGACCACCACCAGCAGGCAAGGTGGGTTAAGTGTCTTGCCCAAGGACACAACGACAACGACAGACTGAGCAGGGCTCGAACCTGCAACCTTCCGACTACGGGACGAGCACTTAACTCCTGTGCCACCGTCGCCCCACAACAAATGTCGAGTTTTTTTTGACAATGTCACAAATATGAGCAAATACACATTATATTCACCTCAATGCAATTGCATTGAAATTATGATTTTATTTGTTTTTAGTCGAGAATACACAGTCTTCTATTTGGCTACATTTATAAGCCACATGCTTTTCCCCCCAGATAATGTCAGTCAACGCCTGACTCGTAATGCACGGTATAGACGGTATACAGCAGAAGTCATATAAGTTTAGTCAACTATAGAGATTTTGACTCTACCAACCAACCAAGGTTTCGCGTGAATTTTGTCACGCTGCGTCAACCTTAGAAGGCGGGGCACCATCGGACCTGGTTTGGGTTTAAAGAGTTGAATAAGTAGAAGAAGAACAACCTCAGTGAAGTCTTATCTGTGTTAATAGCTTGATTAAACAAGTTCCCTTGGCACGGTTGGCACACAGGCTTCCAATCCTTTGAAACATCTATGATTCAGTTAGAAAATATTTCCGTCTGCAGTTTCTATCATTTGTTTCAAAGGTCCAGTCTGAAAACGGCTCCACTCTCCCACTCCGTGCTGCTTGTGCACACAGAAGTCAGACCTGCTGATCAGCAGATGTGAGCACCGCTCGGCTACAGGCAGAGGAAAAGGACAAGCCTCCAACCTTAACTTACCGTTGTTGAAAAATAAAGCAGGAAAACATCCTTTTACAATCAGTTATTCACTAGAGCAGCACGTAACTTCTACAAACCAATAAAAAGCGAGTCAGAAAAGCAGGAAGAAATTCAAATTCGGTTTTTAATTTTGTGCTTCAGTTTGCATTTTCATCACATTTATCTGGTATTTTATTTAAAATATCGTCTTTCTTCATGTTACTGTAGGGTCATTTTTGTGTTGGTTTGTGTAGGTTGTCAGTCGTCCAGGGCATGGTGATCTAGAAGGCTTAGATTGGAAACGGCTAGACTTGAGATGTTTCATTTCTCATCCAAGAAGCTTCTTCAGTTCTGAAACTTGGGGTTGGGAGTAGGAGGCTAATGGGGTGTGGTCTGATGGGACAATAGGAGCCGCTAGTGAGGCCCTCCCTTTATTCAGCTCCCTGTTTGTGTCGTTAGTGCTGATGATCCTAATAGGTCCCCAGCAAAGGCCTCCTGTCCACTGTTCTGGTTCTATTGCCCATTCCTACTTCCGACTACATTTGGACCTTCTCATCTTAAAGATTACATCAACTATTAGGTAATAAGCTTGTTTTGAATCTTTTCATTGACAACCACCCTTAAAATTCTGATGTATATGAATGGTGGTCAGTAGAGGTGATTAATGCAGAAATATCAAGAAATTGAAGGCACTGATCTCCTCTAGCTGGCCTTTTCCATTATTCATGTAGATTTCTAGTCTTTTTTAATCTATTTTATATTATGTTGACCCAAACCAGAACCAAACTGAATACTTTTGTAGTTTAGACCATTTTCCTGGCAGCTCTTCAAGCTCTTACTAGTTGAGTCTTCTCATATTTCCTAGTTTATAGTGACTGATGACGATGTTTCCTGGGTTCACTGTTGAACCTGAGCTCTGGGATGTTGCACATGGGTTGAGCTGACCCAGGCTTCCTATAAATGAACGTACTCCGAGTAGTTTATTGCCGCAACATCTGATTACTACTGTTACCTTTAGCCCATAGTGTTCTAACACATCTACATAATACAGACCAGTGAACTGTGAAAGCATGATTTTCTAATGCAGAGGTACTCTCTTCCTGAGCGTGAGCAGGTGCTGCTCATCAACAGCGTTTGATCAGCAGCACCTGGCTGTTGCTAATAATATTAATTGTTGTGGAAGCTTAAAAAATCTTAGTCTGACTCCAAGATTTGACATTTCGTCTTGTTTTTGTTTTGTTGGGCTGCTTCACTGTTAAGTGTATCACATACATTAACAATCAATCAATCAATCAATCAATCAATCAATCCTTTATTAATCCCAGAGGGAAATTAGAGGTGAGGTTTTCACAGCATCTGCATTCCTTCGTGGGGGTTTTAGTTGCTTGCAGCTCAAGGCTACCAGGGCGTCAGATTCAGATAACAAGAATTTGTTTGGGTCAGGCTGAGATAATTTTCCTCTCTGCCTTCAGTCTTTAAACTGATCATTTCCAGTCCTTCCGTGAAGCCAATTTTGGGTTTTTAAACCTGTCCATACCGTCCGGTGACTCTCTCCGAGATGACATCCATTTTGCGCACTAATACCGGTATCGCAGGTGGAACATTGTCCAGCTTACGATTCACCTCGAGTAACGTCCCAGTCTGAGAAGTCTCCACACGGACGGTGCTTTCCGTGGGTGCAGGTCGCCCTCCAATCGCTCCCGTCTTCCCAAATTTCCAGAAAACCAGATATCCTCCCACTTCAATCAGGAGAAATCCAGTGATCATCAGACCGAACATCCACACATCTTCGATGTCCTCAATGGACAGCTGGGAGAGGCATATGATCTTCCACTCCTTCCAGAAATCCAGTATATACCCCACCGGGTGCGTCCCCTGTGGACATGTGGGAGCCCCCTGCTCCGTTCTCATTGTTGAAAAAATCTTATCGATCGCGTTGAATGACCAGTTTATCAAATCCATGATTAGTAAAAATAGTTTTTTCAGAAGAAATGCAGAGAAGCGCTCTGTGGGCAGACAGGACAAAGAGCCTTGGGGGAAAAAAGATAAGGGAGCGAAAGAGGGAAGCGTCTGTACTCCTCGAGTGCCTGAAGAAGAAAAAGGGTGTGTTTAAAGCAATTGATCTTTCAGAGGTCAACAACTAACTATTTTGAGGCGATAATCTGTTTACAATCCATACAAAAACAATGCAGAACTATTTTACGGCCACATTTTGGGTAAATACATTTTTTTGGGTATGAAAGACAGATAAAACCTTGAATCAGAGTGAATTTGGCATTACCCACTGAGACCGAGAGTTCTCTGTTGATTTTGTGGTATTTTGGCAGCTGGTGGGTAGCTTTTATGTTGCCGTGTAAGTAAGACGTTTCCCCACCCACTGTCTGTCAATAACTTAGATAAAATGTTTCCAGAAAACCTAAAGGCAAGTTTTTAGTTCAAGGGAAGGATTTAAGATATGCATTAGGCTGAGCAAGGTCATGAAGATTAACCCGGTGAGTCTCTTTTGAGCTTTATATTTAAATAAATGCATACAGATGAGGCAGCATTGATGAAGGTTGGAGCGTAGGGAATCGGAGGGAAACGAAGGCACACTCTGTCTAGCTAAATGAGATTAAAACTAAAACAAATGTAACTAGCGTAACACTGTGTGCATGCGTTTGAGTAAAAATTCATTTGTCAAATAGTTTTCTTTGGATCATATTAAGTGTGCACAAGGGAAACGACGGCAACGGCTTGCACAGCGCTCGGATTGTTTGTGGTATTTTGGTTTGAGAGAATGGCAGAAAAGGAGCATTTCAATTTCTGCGATATGATCCGTTTTCACAGGTCAGGCTCTGCACACAGAGCCGATGGCTGCCAATATAACCAAATGTCACACAGACATGATTTCATCAGAATTAATCAACGCTTGAGGAGAGCAGCCTTGGTTTATTGGCTGAAGCAGTCGGTCATTAGTCACAGGAATGCTTCAGTCACACCCTGGACTTTCCTGCAGCTCTGGTCCGTCGCTGGTGCTAATGGGAACTGTGGTAGACTCAACCAGCATTCATTCTACATGTCCATCTGAGATTCTTTGCATTTTGTCTAATTTTTAATTTGGATTAGATTATGTAAACTTGATGAACTGGATGCCCAGGAGTTAATTTCAGGTGGCTTACAGTTGTTCGTAGTGGGGCCATGGATCTGTGCAGCAAAGTGCTGCAACAAGCACATTTCCTCATCTTCAGTTCCTGCTGTTAGCTTTAGGTTGTAGACCTCGATCTGTCTAATCACCTTCCCGTCTCCAACAGTGTTGACCTGGTGCATGCTCAGCTGCGTATTTGTGAGGGCCGCAGTCTGCCAGAACTCGGCCTCAAGCAAGACAAGATCCGGGTGAACGGCTGTGCCATCCAGTGCAGGGTGACGACTGAAGACCCATCTAGAGGCTTCCAGCCAGACACGGGAAGGATCGAGGTAGGCTTCATCTTGAGTTAGCTCCTCAGACTTCCACACTCTGCACTCAGAAGTTTACTTACAGGTCACGGACAGGGGTTCACATGAGTTTGGGACTTTAATTGGCCGATTTGAACAGTCCTCTGGGGTGAACAAGTTAAAAGTCATCGTGGATTTTCTGTCATCCACACAGGCTCAGATTTACACACACATATGCTAAGCTGGACTTGGATCACTCTAAGGATCTGGATAGATTATTTAAGTGTGTTGCTATTTGGCACAAACCAGTCCTTTTATTCTTATTCTACATGTTTTCGTCAGGTTGAGGCCTGGTTTTTAGAAATACCATTCCATAAACTGGAGGTTAGCCTGCTTGATCCCATCAGAAACCAGTTGTGATGTGTTTGTGGTCATTGTCTCGTTGGATCATCAAAGTAGGCCCGCATTTCCACCATCTATCTGAAGATAAAAGCTAAGTGAAGTTAAATAAAATGCAGGTAGGTCTTCTTTCTTACCCCTCCTTTCCACCGGAGCCGTCAGCAGCACGTCTTGCTCGCGTAAGCTGCTGCTTGGCCCTTCCCACCAGAGACGCGTACAGCAGGGGAGCAGCTGTCACCGACAGAGCACGAAGTCACACGAGTGACTTCATCAGTAAACACAACAACAAGCAGGAGAAAACTACAACATGGCTCCAAAAGGTTTGTGTTTTATGTTCTGTCCGTTTTATAATCACCAATACGGACCTGAAAAATGAAGGAGACCGCTAGCTAGGTGATAACTTCTCACGGGGCCGCACATTTAGTAACTTTTTTTAAAGTAAAGCAACTGGAAGGCAGTACGTTTCTTTATTCTGAAAATCTCTGGAGCTTTGCGCCGTTTCCGCATCCGATTTCCTGTCTTTCCTTCCCCAAAAATGTCGAACTTGACCCGTTTCAGAGGCGTAGCGCGTAGAAAATAGAACCGGCGCGTAAGGGCCGCGACATGCTGCTCCTGAGACGCGGCCGACTCGCGCTGCTGATGGCTCAGGTGGAAAAGGTTCTCTTGACCACAGTGGTTCCTATCAGCAGCTATGACGTGCTGCTGCAGTAACGTGCTGCTGACAGCTCCGTCACGGCTCCGGTGGAAAGGAGGGGTTATTCCATCCACTGTGTTCAGTACTCCTGTACCAATGCATGACTCTACCTCCACCATGCTTGGAAATTGAGAATCGAGTGGGAAGACGTTTGGTTTGGAGTTGTTTCTGGATTCTCTGACCATAGCAGCTCAGCAGAGCTTCGTGTCTGTCACCAACAGTGTTGCACCATATTCTGCAGCCATTCGATTATTTTTCTCAAGGTGGGAGCCTAAAGGAAGGGGTCAGACTTGGCTTGCTTTAAAGGCTTTTTCAAGAACAAAGACAGCGCCTTCAAGGTTTGAAAGCCTCCACTTCAACATACAAGACTTTGTTGTTGAAACCAAAGAACTTATTTTTTCCCCTGAAGGCCTTGCCTCGTCCCCATGGTTTATGTTTATGTATTTAGCAGACGCTTTTGTCCAAAGCGACTTACAAGTGATAATCGGCATGTTACCCTTGAGGCTAACAACAACAATAACAACAATAACAACTTGACATCAGTCATGGAGAGGAGGGAACAAGGAGTGGACAGTAGAGAGGGGGGACGGGTGCAGGGAGGGTGCTAGTTTAGAAGATGGTCTTCTGGAGTTTCTTGAAAATTGAAGAGGAAGCCCCTGTTCTGGTAGTGCTTGGAAGGTCATTCCACATTTGTGGAACGATGCATGAGAAGAGTCTGGATTGTCCTGAGCGTGGTGTAGGCACTGCTAGCCGACGATCCTGTGATGACCGGAGCGGCCAGGCCGAGACGTAGCCTTTGCAAGAGGATTCAGGTAGATGGGAGCCGTACCATCTCGGACTTTGTATGCTAGTGTGAGCAATTTGAATTTGATGCGTGCTGCTAGCGGTAGCCAGTGGAGCTCAATGAACAGAGGGGTGACGTGTGCTCTTTTTAGCTGGTTGAAGACCAGACGCGCCGCTGCGTTCTGGACCTTTTGAAGAGGTCTCACAGTACAGCCTGGAAGACCAGCTAGAAGGGCATTGCAGTAATCGAGGCGGGAGATGACAGTAGATTGCACCAGGAGCTGGGTGGCATGTTGTTGATCTTTAGTATGTTATACAGCGCAAAGCGGCATGAACGAGCAACAGAGGCAACATGATATTTACAGGTCAGGTGTTCATCAATCACAACACCCCGATTTCGAACTGCCTTTTGAACATCCATTTTGATATGTCAGAGAGACAGTTTGATATTCGGGCAGAGACAGTGTGGTCGTCCGGTGGAAATGACAGATAGAGCTGGGTGTCGTCTGCATAGCAGTGGTAGGAGAAGCCATGTGATCGAATGATCTCACCCAGTGAGGTGGTGTATATGGCAAAGAGAAGAGGTCCTAGTACAGAGCCCTGGGGAACTCCTGTGACAAGATGGTGCACGGTAGAGGATTGTCCAAGCCAAGATACACTGAATGATCGTTCTGTGAGGTACGATTCAAACCAGGCATGTGCTTCCTCTGTGATGCCCATGAGACCCATGGTCTCCTACATAGTTCAGGTTGTCTCTAATGGAGCAGGAGGGTTCAGGTGGTGATGTGAACTGTCTTCTCTGTGGACATCGGTGTTCCACCAGGTTCATGGTAGACTCGGGACTTGGTGCTTCCTGGGTTGTTCCACAACATTCCTTTCATCTGTGACAAATAAGCATCAGTCAATCCAGTAAGAAGTAGTTAATATACTTCCATCAATGGTGCACAACAGTAAATGGTGACTAGTGATTTTCTTTATACATTTCATTCTAGATTGATAACATAAAAGAGCTGTGGTAGGGAGATTTTATAAACGTTGTTCACATGGAAGCTCATCTTAGGTCTGAAACCGTTAGAGCTGAACATTCCTAATTCTGCACTTCCAACGTTTTTGAGCTTTTCTGTTTCTGCCAACAAGAGCCCAGCTTTTTTTGGTTTTACTTGCCAAAGCTCTGGTGTTCTTTCAGCCAAGCAGGAATATTTTAGGAACATAAAGTTTATAAATGAAAGTCGTTTATCAAAAACAAACAACGAAGGCTTTCAAAGTGAGTTGTGAATTTGTATTTCTGTGTGAATCTCTTCGGTGTTATTTTTTTCCTAGAGGTGTGTGTTCAGTTTTGTTTGCAAGTGGAAAAATCTTCAGTGTTTTTCGTCACGTTTCTCTTGGCAGTCGCTTTTTGGTGTCGTTTTGTCTCTGTGTGAGACTTTCTTTGTCAGTGTTCACACGCGAGGAGACGCAAAGGTCATTATGAGCGTGTATCCACCCGTAGACTCATATTCTGTTTGTCTACACACCGCTGAATCATTTATCCTCCTCCACTTTTTCCACATGGCAGCCCTATGTACAAAAGTTGTGCATTTCAATTTCCTCAGATTTATCTGCACTCCTCACACGTAATGGCACTGCAAATGCTGGTTTGGAAGAAGCGATGAGACAGGCTCATCCCTCACTAGAAGCGTCTGGCTTGTGATGTGATGAGATTTACATACCTGGATTTGGGGATTTTCTGCCATTCTCCCTCAGATCCTCTTGAGCTGTTTCAGGTTGGATTGAGCGTGTCAGGCCGCAGCTATTTATAGGTCTGAACCACAGATGCATATTCAGGTTGAAGTCAGGTCTTTGACTGGTCCACCCAGTCACAGTTGGCCCGAAGCTGCTCCTGTGTTGTCTTGTGTTTCGTCTGGGATCACTGACGTCTTTATTATTCTGAGCCAGGCGTGGGTCAGGCTGAGCTCCTACCCAAGTGTCACTGGATCACAGTAAGAAAACAAATCATTTAAACTGGATCATGATGATGTTTTATTGAATAACACAACCAAGCTACAAATATGAATACTACTGTTTAAATATTATCACTCACTGATGCAGAAAAGTGAGTCACTTAATGAAATCGATGTCAGAAATTTCATGACTCTAATTTAAAGCGGCATTATGGAAGTTTGACAGCCAAAACATGTATAGAAATAATAAATGTCTTCTTCATACGTTCTCCTGCAATGCCCTGGTCCTGTAGAATGAGCCCTGGCATTTTTACTGTGATTGCCTGTTTTTCTGTAAAATCACAGAAAAAGAGAGATGCTCGGGTCGAGCAGGCTGCTTCATGCGCGTTCACGCTCAGGCATCGCCCGTAGCATTTGCTATCCGTAGCTTTAGCAGCAGAGAGAGAGGCAGTGCCACTTTGTCGCTGTTCCTAACGCCTAGTGACAAAGCTAGCTACATTTCTGAGGACCCTTAGCTACTTTCTGTAGAACTTTCTTCTAGATATTTCCTGCAAATTAGCAACAAAATAGCCATTTTCACTCCGAACCGTTCTTTGGTTTGACGTTGTTTCAGCTGTTATCAAGGGTATAAAAGTTACAGATACAAAAGACGAGACGGGTGTTTGTAGTTCTCATCTCAGCGCCCCCCGGCTCAGTGCTAGTGAGCCGGTAATAAACGGCTCCTTTTCTCCTGTCATGATTCTTAGAACGGAGTTCAAATGCTTCCATCTTCATTTAATCAGATCACACATCTTGCCAGTGAATATCCTTTAGGTACTTAGTCTTCAGCAGACTTGTTCAAACTCAAACTGAGACTCCGCTTGTCTTTTGCTGAGGAACATCCGTTGTCTGGCTCCCGACTGGCCTCTCTACCTCAGAGGTCCAAATCACAGGAGTGCTGCAGTGGTGGTTGTCCTTGGTCATGGAAGTCTCTCCCATCCTCACGTCGGATCAATAGCTGAGGTGACTGTCAGGGCCTTGGTCACTTAGCCTACCAAAGCACTTTTCTGTAGATAACTTGTTTTGCCTGACGGGCCACTCAAAGTAAAAATCTGGTTCTCTTTATTTTAAAGGAGACATATTGTGGCTGTTATACCGAGTTATGATATGTAGTCTGTACAAAACATTTAATGAAGTTCTTTGCACCAAATTCCCCTCATATGAAGCAATTTCATCAGTTAAATGCT